CATTAGATGAAAAACTAAAATACTTGCTGAGGTGCGTGGTAGGAGAGTTCTGAACCGGGAACGGGGATTAATCATTCATTTTCTGACCAACAGTCCCAGCAGACCGAGCTTCACCCCGACCACATACGCTCAGGCAAAAATTCTTCCATCTCTCCCACTCCCTCCAAAAACACGCCAGACACAGTTTACTAAAAATGGTCTTTAGCATTCAAATTATTGTCTGAATTAGCACGTAATTCTCAAATACGGGTAGCCTTTCAGAACACAACAAAAGGGAGTATATTTATTGTCCACACGACTGCCACGTTCAATGGTTTTAAGTACCTTGTGTTTTAATCTAAATTAAGGACTTTATGCTTTTGTCTTGGCTTCCTGAAAACTCACCCCATGATGAGTTCAGGTAGAACACTTCCCAGGACAAGCCAGGGGAACATTTAATGGCAAACGCTGCTGCTGCAATTCCAGCCCAGTCCTACTTGTAAGATTTGCCTGTACTTGTCTATTTTGCCAAGTATACATAACACACTAAAATTTTATCTAGGTTTTTTTATATATTTATATACGTGTATTTAAAAAAAAAAAAAAATACAGCCATGCTTATATCTCCCTTTCTTCAGTGGGAGAAATCACCAGCTGCTAATTTTCACTTGCTCACGTACAGAATCACACACGCTGGCCATAACGCCCCCCAGAGTCCAACGCTGCCTTTTTCGAAGAAATTAAAGCCAGGAACAACTACGGGATTTCGAGGTTCAGTTTTGACCATCCCTCCCAGAGGCTGCTCCTTTGCTCACAGGATCCATGGAGCCACGCACAAGATATCTCCTTCCATATGGAAGGAGAGGTTCCTGCCCCGCAGACCCGCAGTGAGCCTCACCGTACGGCATTATAGTGAAGATACCAAAATGTCCTGACAAGTTACTTTAATTCTTTTAAAGCCTCAAACTAGACATTTCATTCATAGTAAGTGATAGTATTCATTAAAATAAACGTTTAACGGTCAGTTATTAGCAGAGTGGTCATACTTTAAACATTTAATTTGCTACCGATACAGTTTTGCATTAGCAAGCCCAGAAAACAATTACAAATTACACAATTCAATTTTCCAAATGGATTATTCCATAACTAGACAGAAAGACTGTTTAAATTACTTCTCCTGTTTCAAGGCAAGATTAATACAATCGGATTAAAACTTAGGTCCCCTCGAGGAATCGGTATATTGCTGTCAGCAGTACGCAATTAGTCGGTTTTGTATTGAAATATTAAGGATTCTTCTGGCACATTGCAAAGTCAAAAGTCACTTGGAGAAATGAGAATTTCTTCCTTCCTCCAATATTATTTTGTTAAAACATATGGTAATTTGTGGTTGATTATTTACATTTACCAAGTGAAAACTAGACAGCTACCTGAAAGGCAATTCTCTGCCTAGATTTTGTAGGCTGGATCCTAATTATTTTCTCTCCCTTGTGGGACCAAATGAATTAAGTGGGCAATTTGCTTTGCGTATGCAGATTTCCAGCTTCATAAGTTACAGATGACTGTTCTCTGATGACCTGTGTTTTAGGACACTTCAACCTTTCCATGTTTAAAAAAATAGAACAAGATTAGAAAGTATTTAAAGGTTAATATTATATAAAAAAAATACTTATTATTTTGTTGTTTTAAACTTTGAGTGGCAAGGATGTCAAAATTCAGCCCCTGGTTCAGGGCTGCAGGAAAGGACACGTACATCACACATTCAAATGTCAACAAATCGGACCCCCTAATGTGACAGAAACACACCAAGACACCTCAGAAACACTGTTTGTGACCCAGCGGTGCCTTCAGATGGATGAAGGAGAGACCCTGACTGGACAAAGGTGCCGAGGAGATGCCGTACTGTCTCAGAGCACAGCTTCAGTGGCTGGTACCACCATGGGGCCACGAGAACAAATGCTCTGGACAGACTCCTTCCACTAATAAATCGAAGAAACATTTGCACTTTAATTCATCACAGAACAGGAAAAAAAAAAAAGCAACAGAATGAAACAATTTAACACTTCAGTGAAGGAGGCAGGTGCTATTGAAAAATTAGCTCCGTTCATCATTTTTCTTTTTCTACCCTTTACAGTTTTATGATGGATTAAACCTTCCGTGAGATTGATGGGGTGAGTGGGGGCTCCTCGGTTTTCCAGATTTGATGCTGCTTTCGACAGCATTTGAGAATCACTTCAGAACCCAGGTAGAAAGTAAACGACCACATTTCTGGAGCACTGGTAATCTGTAAGTGAGGTTTCCCCCGTACAGCATCATCTATCAGGCCGAACTGCATTCGCCCTTAAATTCATTAGCACAAGCTTTTGACACGGTGACACCTGACACGTTAACAGGACTGGCCGGGCTTCTCATTTGTAGGATTAACTTTATTGTCAGAGAAGCAGCCTTCTGCCCAGGAGTGACAGGATTAGAACAGTCGCAGAAAAGCCTCTGCGCACCACCGAGCTGTTACAACAGCTGCTCTTGCTGACCAAGCGAACAGCAAGACAACAGCAATGACTGTCCTAGACCTCTGGGCGGATGTCTTGAGTACCAAAGTCCCCTTAATATTATACATCAAACCCAGGTGACAAGTAGTGTTAGTTGAAGACTGCCATATTAAGTTGGTTTTTTTACTTTTTTATTAATAATCAGCTATGCTTTTTTATAAGAACCAGTTCAACTATAGAGCAGTATAGAGCAGCAGTGACATGTTCTCCTTCTTCAACACCTCCTATTTAATACTGTTTGAAGCTGCATCATTCACCGCCTTAGAATTTCACCATGCACAAAGCTTATTTAGAAAAAGAAACTAATTTTTATCCACCTGTGCTCTTTCTAAGTTAACACAATCTAGCCAGAAAATGCTATTTAATATTCATTAGCTTCCTTTCAGTAAAGTTTGTTAAAAATAAACAGGATCTGTCAACTTGTACAGCTGATGACTGTAGAACGAGGGGACAGCCTCATTTACCATCACAGTGCAAAAACGGGGCACGGAAGACCCCCGCTGCCAAACAGCAACGCTGCGTAAGTGACAACCCGCTGTCCTGGGCAATCACACTCAACCTAACTCTTGGTTAGCACTGCTTCATTTACAGAGTGGCAAAGAGGAGGGATAAATGTGGAGAACAAATGGCAGCGAGAAGGCTCCCCAGCCGTCCAGCCCGCCTGCGCCCCCATGTACAAAGCTCTTCCAGTGTCCAGGCTCGCACGATGCTGGGAAGAGAGATCTCTCCATTTTATACCGGAGCACCGCAGGCCTTCTGGCTGAAACGTCAGCACCGCATCCCGTAATCTGGGGCTACACACCCGGGACCCGAAGCAGACAGACATTTAGGGGAAGGGCTCAGAGCATTGGAGCTGGCAGTCCAGCTCAGCAGGTCCAAGACACCAAAAAACCCCAGAGAAGCTCAGACTGATCTCAGGTATACTCAGTGTAAGACTCAGACCCCCAAGACACCACCCTCCGGTTCCTGAAAAGGAGACAGGATGTGATCTACCCGTTCCCTCCAGCTGGAACCAGTGCTTTCAGGACTGCACACTACGTTCAAGTGACCTGCGTTCAAGGCTGGTTTACTCCTCCAGTTGTGGAGTTTGACCACTGTTTATTCCTGTGAAATAAGCTACCAGAGAAATCCAGATACTAAATTTATAGAAGAAGCAATAGTTTAACATTAAGTAACTGTTAATTCTATAATTAACTAAGCCTGACTTAAAGCTGAAAATCCCTCAAAACTAGTGGGACTTTCTATGGTGCATTAGTCCGCAGAGCCAGACGTAGGGAACTGCTCTTAGGTTACATATGTGACAAGTAAGTGCTAACCTACAGATTTTCTTGAAAGAAGAGAACAAAAATCCAGCCTCATTTAGATTCCCCACGGATTTCACATCCATTACCTAATCTGAGCTTCAAGTCGGTGTGTGCTGCTGATATATTCCATTAATACAATGGGAGAAATACAGATTTGCATCAATAATTGACAGTCATACTAATACAAACACAGCATTTCACATAAAGCTGGAAATTGTCTTATATACACTGTACAACCCTCACACACATCAAATGAAAAAAAAAATGCACTTCTCATTACTTTTGAAAGTTGCTTAATATAAATTTGAATGAACTATTTCTGGGCATGACTTACTACAAATAGCCACAGGTTTTATGACCAATGAGTTACAAATTACATGGCATGTAGACAGACAAGTCTGAATTCAGATTCAGTATTCCCTCAAGATTTCCTCCTAAATGTATGTCAAAGTGAGTAAGTGCAGATCAGCCTCCAGCTCAGCTGTGCTCGCCAGCTCCCAGGAATTTATGCACATAATTCCTAATCTTCTCATATATTAAGCTTTTGCCAACAATGATTATAAATTAAAGAGTTTCTTATTTTCATCTCCATGCCCAGGAGAATTACACATGTAAATTCTCAGATGAATATGAAATGCGCACATAACTCCAGAGAAGTGATAAGAGGGAAAAACTTCATTCGTTTAATACCGGTGAATTTAGCAAAGGTTTTCACATCACCATTGCACAAAAAATTTGCATGTTGCCCTTCATATCTGTAGCTGTCTACTGTCTCCCACAGGTGCAAAATTCTAGCGAAATGGGAACCTCCAAGTACTCAGCTTTTTGAATTCACACGTTACTTTGGATGTTTGCTACTGTAATTACGAAGAGTAGTAGTCATTGCAAAGTATTTCAGCTCTGATTTTAAAGGGCTGAGGAGAACAAAGGAAATCTTCTCTAAAAATAAAGTCATTTTCCATTAGCTTAGCAAGATGTGTGCTACAAAGCAGAAAATGGAACACTTACTCTGCCTCTACTTTACTGAATGAAGAAACATACAAGTGGCTTCGGGACCTCGACAGCAAAAAAGTTCCAATTTTCAGGCCAATTAATACATGACAACTTTAGGTTTTATTCTTGATTGTTTGTAGAAGCAAGTTTGAGAAATAACCATATCACCATGTCTTACCTTGTGATAGCACCTAAAGTAAGCAGCTCGTTCATCTGAGAATTTCTCCAGCCTCTTTGGCCCTTTGCTTGAAGCTTTTTTGAATACTAACCAGCATCTCTGGTAAATCTAGAAACACAAGAGAATAAACTTGGCATCTGCAATGACTTGAATATCACTAATATTTGCATAGAAGTTAAACTCATATATCAGTTGTTGCTCTGGAGCTACAATTAATGGCTCTCCGTAGATTAGACAAAAAATAAAAATCAAGTTAATGGATAGTTACATCCTATTTCTTTTGAATTATGATACAATCAGGAATTCTTATGAAGACAGTGCATGTGTGCATGAAAGGTGCTAGGAAGAAGGAGCTGTACTTATGCTTGCAAACGTAGGGCTTTCTAGGAAACAGCTTTTTTAAAATAAAGTGACACACTTTTCCGTGTGGATTTGTTACTGGTTCCAGTCTTGCACGCTCAAGACAGACAGGAAGAAACCTTGAGCAAACAGGTAGGAATGGAACTTCTATCGCACAAGTAAGAGATAAAACTGTAAGTCTATATTCTATGCATAAGGGTCAATGAGGATACATAAGGGAGAAGGAACTGAATTACCGGGTAATGGAAAGGCAGATCATTGAACAGTAGAATCCAGGACCACTCTGACAACTGGCGTTTTGCTTTCAAGGTCCAGGTGAATTTAAATTCAAGTCACTTGGAGCAGACTCTGTCTACACAGAGTGGTTGAAAAAACACCTTTCCGTCTGCAGCATTAAGCCACTTAATCTCTCAAACTTCTGCCCCCATTTCTTGCCATCTTCCCACCTGTTCTTTAACTGTGGTGCACTTTCTACCATCCTCTTACACCCAAAACCATAGCTCTCAGCTTAGATAACATACCGGCTGTATAGAAGGAAAGAATTATAAGCCTTGCCAACTGTTCACAGCCCACATTTAATCAGTTATTCCAAAGTAACACCTGGTAAGTTAGAAATAAAACAAATCCGCCGCTAAAATAAGTGTGATTTCAAAGAAGAAAATCTGATCAGCCATTATCAAGTAGTTCACAGCTCTGGCAGAGCTCCAGCGCAGCACAAATTCACTGGAGTGATCAGTGGCGACACCCATCAAAACATCTCGCTGCCTCCAGCTAAGCCCATACCCACCAGGTAACCAGCAGACAAGGCACCTCCATCCTTTGAACCCTTGATAGGTTTCCAAACAGTGTAGTCAGCACAAAACAATTACGTCCATGAAAAGTAGCTATAACTTTATTTCTGTGCCCAAAAATGACCGTCAGTTACTAGCTGTGCTTCTTTCACCAGCTTTTAGCTCTTTCTATAAAGACGTTCAGGGAATCACATTATTCCCCCCCAGCTTTATTATTCTGCCTCACACGTGGGCACTCATCCCCCGGCCCACTTGGCTGCAGAAGCATTTAGCATATGGACAGGCTGCTCTGACGCCAGGCACTGGATGAACCCATCAACATCATCTTCCAATTTTCCAGCTTATTGGCCACTCAACCTGTTCTGTTTAATGAAAGGGTTTTAATGAAAGGGTTTAAATTGAATTGGTCAAGAATGACTACACACTGACCAAAACGAGGGCTTGCCACCAAAAAAGCAATTCAGATATGCACCCACTTATACTGGAAGAGATTTTCTACATTTGCCTTCTGAGAATCTTGTTCGCTGGGCCCAGATAACCACATGACACCTGGCAAGAAGAACTCTCCAAAACCCCACCCTAAAGATATTGTCAAAAGTTTGAGCATTCAGTCCTTTCGCTTTTCAAAAACCTATAGTTTTATCTTAGCAATCAGAAGCCTACAGGAGAGAACAGAATCCTTTAGTAATGCATTTGCCGTTGTACAACAACTACAACATGATGATGTCCTACTCAGACCATTTGCACTCAGAACCACCTCTGGGTCAGCAAGCGCCTCAAAGCTGTAGCGGCAACAGTGAGCTCTGCAGCACACAGAACCAGGGGAAGAACAGGAGAATAATAATTTAATTCAAATAAGGAAATAAAGTTTTGCTCTGCCTCCAACAGGGCATAGATTAAGGACGGTTATTGCTCTTCCTTCCTTCTCGCCACTAGGAGAATAAGTACTATTGACAGTCAATTCCAGTCAAGCATGGTAGATGATAAGTTGGTGCTACTGGAATGTATTACTGTAGTTTAACAATGACTAATCCAAAACTAATTCTTGGATTTAGATCAGAATCAGGGCACAGCTGGGGAAAAAAAAAAGAAAAAAAAAAAAACAAACCCAAAACCTGTTACGTGTAAGTACCTCCAAGGATGCAAAAGCCTACAATATAAATACTGGTCTTTGAGTTTTGGTTCTGCTCCCATATTACAATAATTCTTAAACAAAAGAGCCGCAGGGTTGGAATACATTATGACAGTGCCTCAGGACAACATCTCCATGACCCAAGTAACTACACCTATAAAGAACAAATGGCATTCACGATGATAACTTGAGCAAAATGGAAGAAAGTCAGGTCATGAAGGTCCCTCCTCTGAACTTCCTCCTCCTTCTGTATGAGCTAGTCAGCTCTCTCCTCTTACGGAATCTCTAGGCAGAGAGATTCTAATGCAAGAGTAGTTTAAAGAATAAAGTATTTTGTTTTGACTACGAGACCATGAACAAGTGTTTGCCTGAATATACAGTTCAAAATCCCCTTAACGTTAGTCATCTGATGTTTAACTCCTCTCTGCTGAGCTTATACAAACAAACTCAAAAAGAAGATACATCTCCTCACTTGAGGCCTGATTAGCACCTTCAAAAATGAGATAATGGAGCGATCAAGAACAGGTGCTTTTATCACAGTTACACTTCTATGATCCCATGACACATGTATCTCACGAGTGAACATCCAGCACCATCTTAACTGAGCCGAAACCCTTATACCCTAAACCTCTAGCAATAAGCAATAAAAAAAGGGGGTTGGACTAGACCACCTTTAAAGGTTCCTTCCAACCCAAACCATTCAACAATTCTACAAATAACCAATTTGGCAGCATCTGCCTAGGAGCACTGAAAGCCTTTCAACGCACAGGAGAGATGACGTGCCCAAGACAGCGAGTGAATCATGGACTCTGTTAGGAGCTACAATACAGAGCAAGTAATTAGGTCTTTGATGCCATCATGCTCTAGTCCGTATCTGAGACTTGTCGGTATTTCTTCAAGTTGAAGACAGCACGTGAACTGTTTACATTATTACAGCCGTTTTGATAGCAGCAACAAGAACCAGCCCCAAATGCTCTTAGGTGCCTGTTCCGTCATGAATACTCATCCCTCAGATCAACATTTTCGCTACTACTCCATGAATAGGAATTAGTTGAAAGTACTGCTGTAATTACTTCCACTCCAAATACTTGGGCTGACAGTGATTAGATAATCCAAACAGCAAATCAGGATCTGATGTGCTGAGAGAGAACAGTAATAGCTGTCATTAGCACAACACCTAAAACTTACAAAGCTCTCCCTATGCGATCTCCCGAGAAAGCCTCACTCAAAATTTAATTCGAGTATCAAAAATCAGCATCTACTTCCTATGGTCTCTCCTAAAAATTTCAGCTTTAACAGCCCATCCAGCAGGTAACAACGTAAAACTCGAGAGAAACAATATGACTGTTTATGAAATGGATCGTCCAAAACCCAGATCGGTGATCCAATGTGCATGTCCAAGGTCACGTCAAAACAGTTCTATTTCTGGCTGTAAAGATCAGCTGATATAAATCATTACCACAACTGAAGTCAAAAGAGGTTTTAGGAATGCTGCATTCTGAGTTTTTGGATTCTGCTGTCAGTGCTGTGCCTTAGGAACCAGGCAGGATTGCTCAGCCATCCCCATGCTCCTTCCGATGCTGGAAATACACTGTGAAGCAAAGGAGCTATTAATCTCAGCTGGAACTGGTCAGCATCTGGCTGAGTAAAGTGGAAAAATGCCTTTTGACTTTCCCGGGTTTCACGGTTCGATTGTGGTTTGAGAATAGTCTCATGCAGCGAGGGAAACTGAAACCGGCGGCTCGCTGTCCTACGTGATGACCCAAACCCCTGGTCCGTCCTGGAAACGGGTGTGGGGAGGGAGACCCGTCAGTCCTCACCGCCTCCCGGCTGATCAGAAAAGCAAGGCAACCAAGAGCTAGATTGTTGAGTGCTTAAAATGTCATTCTTTATATACGAAGCACAAACTATTCCACACAAGAAACAAATATTTGAATTTAGAAACTAAAATCTGGATTTCAGCCCAAAGCAAGTTTACCCCACCCCTCAACACTTTTGTTCACCAACTGATCTAAAAAAGCATCTGGAAATAGCCAAATATTTAGAAATTGGAGGGGGGAAGCAATTTTTCATATCTTGGGGCAGGGAGTTTAAAACCGGCTGGTTCTTAAAGTGAAGATAGATATGTACTTCCACTACAGTACGGCAAAGCAAGCTTATTTTACCTCAGGACTGAACAATCCCACCCCATATTTGTTTGTTATTTAAGAGGGATATAGCAGTCAGAGGCAGTAGCACAAAGTCTCATCTGGCAAATTTCTCCTTTGCGAACAAATGAAGCTTCAGGGAAAGCTGCCCTATTTTATTCCTGCGTTGTGTTTTTCTGCTCTCTGCCCTAAAACAAGGAATTCCAATGAGCTACATTTACAGGGACGCTGAACTTACTGTCAAATAAACACAAACTTTGCTTTTTTAAAAGCAGTAGCTGAAAGTACTATCATGTATCTTGGGATGACTACCAGAAAGCCTGGGCTATTGCCAGGAACTTGTCATTTGTGACTCCGATAACCTCTAGAAACAGATAATCTAATAAAGGCACAGCACAATAGCATGAGAAATTTCTTGCAGGATGTTCTAAACTTTTTTTTTGTAGGGA